CTCTCTCTCTCTGTCAAATAAAGAAATAAAATCTTAAAAAAAAATAGGTATTAACTCTTCTTTAAATATTGGGTACAATTCACTTGTGAAGCTGTCTGGTCCTGGACTTTATTTTTGTTGAGAGATTTTTGATTATTGATTTAATTTCTTTACTAGTAATCGGTCTGTTTAAATTTTCTATTTCTTCTAGATTCAGTTTGGAAGATTGTATATTTCTAGGAATTTATCCATTCTAGGTTATCCAATTTGTTGGTATATAATATTTCATAATATTCTCACATTTTTGTATTTGTGTGGTGGTGGTGGTATTTCTCCTCCTTCATTTTGGACTTTGAGTGCTCTCTTTTTTTTTTTTCTTAAAGAGTGGCTAAAGGTTTATCCATTTTGTTTATCTTTTCAAAGAACCAGCTCTTGATTTCATTGATCTTGTCTATATTTTTACTTTCTTAATGGTGTCTTCTGATGCACAAGCTTTTTTCATTTGTTTGTTTTAAGTCCCATTTACTTATTTTTGTGTTGTTTATGTTGTGGTGTCATACATCTAAGCATCTTCATCTAACCAAAGTCAAAAATATTTATCCCTATATGTTCTTCTAAGATATATTTATACTTTTAGCTCTTACATTTAGTTCTATAATCTGTTTTGAGTTTACTGTGTGTTTTGTGTCTGGTACACATCCAGATTTATTCTTTTGTAAATGAATATCCACTTATCTCAGAACTGTTTTTCAAAAAGACTATTCCTTCCCACCCTCCATTGAATTGCACTGCTGTACTTGCTAAATATCACTTAATAATAAATACGAGGGTTTATTTCTCAATTTTATTCATTGGGATACACACACACACACACACACACACCAATATTGCATTGTCTTGATTAATTGCAGGTTTGGAGTAAGTTTTGAAATCAAGAAGTGTGAGTTCTCCAACTTTTTCTTTTCAAAGATTGTTTTAGCTATTCGGAGTCACTTATGTTTTCATACAAATTTTAGAATCAGCTTGTCCCTTTCTAAAAATTCAGCTGGAACTTTGAAAAGGATTTAATTGGGCCTCTAGATTGATTTGAGAAGTATTGCCAGCTTATCATTATCACATCATCCAATCCACAAACATGGGCTATCTTTACATTCATTTAAGCCTTCTTAATGTCTTCCAACAATGTTTTGCAATTTTCAAAGTATAAATTTTGCACTTCTGTTAAATTTATAAGTATTTTCTTCATTTTTCTTCAGTAGTTAGTATAATTGTTTTCTTAATGTCATTTTCTGTCTTATTTCTGTTGTATAGAAATAAAATGGATTTTTGTATATTAATCTTGTACCCTGAAACTTTATTCTAATAGTATTTTAATTTTAGCATTTTATTTTTATAACATATAATTTCAGCATTTTATATATATCATGTCATATGCAAACAGAGATCATTTTACTTTTACTTTTCTAATCTGGATGATTTTTATTGCATTTTTATGCCCAACTGCACTGCCTAAAATTTCCAGTACAATAGTGAATAGGAATGTTGGAAATGATATTTTTGTCCTGTTCTTGATTTTAGGGGAAAGCATTCAGGCTTTCACCACTAAGCAAAATGTTAACTGTGTTTTTTGTAGATTTTTTTTATCAGTTGAGGAAGATCCATTCTATTCCTACGGTGTTGACTGCTTTTATCCTGAAGATGTATTGGCTTTTGTCAAATACTTTCTCTGAATTTATTGAGATGATCATGTAGTTTTTATCCTTTACTGTTATGATGTATTACATTATTTTTGGATGTTAAACCAATTTTGCATTCTTGGCATAATGCCATTTGGTGTTTATATATAACCTTATATATATTTCTAGTTTTGGTATGTTGATATTTTGATGAAGATTTTGCATCTATACTATTTTATGAAATTTGTTTTAAATCAGTTATGAAAAGACAGAAGAAATATGCATTTACACTATCTTACATGATTATATAATAACCTTTGCCAAGGCTCTTTGTGGACTGGGTTTACTTATTTTTAATCTGAAGAACTTCCTTTAAAATTTCTTGAGAAGTTTGTGTTATAGTAACAAATCCTCTCATTTTTCTGTTTATATGGAAATGTCTTTATTTTGCCTTCATTTTTGAAAGATTATTTTGCTGGGCATAAGTTTCTTGGTTGACAGGTATTTTTTTCTCTCAGCACTTTGAATTTGTCATCCCACTGCCTTCTGGCCTCCATTTTTTTGTGTGTAATGAGAAGTCATCTGAAAATCTTATTGGAGCTCCTTTGTACCTGAGTCATTTTGCTTTTCCTGCTTTCCATATTATCCCATTGTTTCTGGCTTTCAACATTTTTGCTACAGTGTGTCTGGATATAGATCTCTTTGCAATTATCTCATTTAAAGTTCACTGAGCCCCCTTGGATGTACACATTAATGTTGTTAAGCTAATTTGAAGCTCTTTAGCTACCATTTCCCTGAATATTTTTCTACTTTATTCTTTTTCTGCTCTTGTTCTTATACTCCCATATGCCTAGATTGGTGTGTTTAAAGGCTTCTCACATTTTTTGAGTCTGTGTTCATGTTTCTTCATCCTACTTTCTCTCTGATCTTCAAATTGCATACTTTCTATTAATGTAAGATCAGGTTTCATAATTCTTCTTCCAGTTCAAATCTACCATTGAGTCACTCTAGTGAATTGTTCTTTTTTTTATTAAAATTTTCAACCCCAGAATTTTCATTTGGTTCTTTATTAGAATTTCTCTCTTTTAATTGGCAATCTTTGATGTGTCTTTATGCCTTCATACCTTTATGCATTTCTTTTGGCACTTTGAACATATTTATATTGGCTAATTTGAACTCTTTGTTAAATCTGACATGTAGGGCCTCTCACAGGTAGTTTCTGTTACCTACTTCTTGGTGTGTGGCTCGTGCAGTCCTGTCTCTTTGTGTGTCTTGTACTTTTTGGTTGTTGTTGAAAACTGGAAATTTTACATAATATATTGTAGCTACTCTGGATACTAATCCCCCCCTCCCTTTAAGGCATATATTTGCTTTGATGCTTGTTTATTTGTCTTGTGATTCAGCTGGCTATTTTGGTGAAGTCTCTTTCCCCAGGGTTAAACCTTGGTACTGCACCTTGGAAGGTGCAGCGCTGGGCAAGCAAAGCCCCCTTGGTGTTATCTGGTCTGTCCTATGTTTTTCGCTGATTTCTCCATTAAGCTCTCTGACTCATTTGGCATTATACCAGTTGTTAAGGTCCACTAATTACCCAGCGGTTAGTCTATGGTTTTTGACAATGTTCTGGGGCATAAATTGTACAGCAGGCTGAGCCAATTAAATTCAGGCTTGGATAATTTTGAGACAAGTCTTTGAGGTTTTTTCTCACCTCAGGAGAGCTATTTTTATGTCTCTGTCTCTGGTTCATTCTGATAAATTAGTAGGCCTATGATTTAGCTTATTGGTCTCAATGAGGAAGAGTTATTATTTTTGAGAACATCCCTAGACTTGAACTCTCCCCCTAGTCTGTTTCAAATTGTCACTTCCTTTGGGAAGAGTTTTGGAGCTATCTCTTCTTATGTACTACCTCTCACCATAGGCAGAATCTTACTGCCACTACTCTTGGTGATAGTGAAGTTGTAGTCACTGGTCTTCTTGGCTTGCCTTCCCAACAATCTCTTAGAGATTCTCTGCCTTACAAGCAAGCTGTGGTGAAAGTGATCAGGAACCCAATATTCTTAGCCTGTAATGCCTGTGGTAGAGGCTCTGTCTGATGGATATAAGTTGACTGGAAAAGGGGAGCTCTAACCTCTTGGCCACACTCATCAGGAATTTTGCCTCTTTACCTCAGAGTTGGGGGGGGGGATGAGAAATGCTAGTAACCTGCCCCTCCTGTGAGATATGGTAACCCTGATTAATAATTGAGAAGACTAGTAGTCCTACACCCTTACCACATCTGCCTGCAATGGAGCTTCCATCAGGCAGGTTGTGAATAAGAGAGTGAAGGAGTAGGTCATGGCTACAATGTCACAGACTTTTGACATTCTTACTGAGTTGCAGTAGATTTGCTTGAATAAATGTTTCTTCATTTGTCTTTAGGACAATATCCAGAGTTGTGTTTTTATAGTTTTGACCAGTTTGGCTTATTTGGTTGGAGAGCAGATCCAAAGAGCCCCTCACACTTCGATCCCAAAAGGAACTTTTTGTAAGCTTGTGATTTTGCTGTATTTGTCATCATTTGAAAGTTTTGCCCATTTTCTTTACAAGGAAGGGCTTTAGCTGTATTAATGGCAGATCCATTCTTTTAAATACCAACAAACACAAACACATGCAACTCAAACTCAATGTTTAAAAAAATATGTCCACAATAAAAGACATATTGCTAGTAATACCTAATGAAAATTAAATCTGATTAAAGAAAAATAATTACACTTTATACCTTAATTTGTGGCTGTGAACCCATTATACAGCAATAGCATACTTCATAAGTATGTCTCCTACATTTAGATGTTTTAGACTCAGGTCAGTCTGTAGAAAAACTTCACACATAATGTTTGTGTTTTTTTTTTTAATTGTACATCAGGAAAAGGAGACTTGGTCTAATAATAAAGTATACTGAACTTGTGTTATAATCTAAATTGAAGTGTGGAGTTTGGGAAGTGAAACAAGAAATAGACATAAATTTCAAACTTACAGAAGGTATCTATACTTCATTAGAACTGTTGTGTTTTCTATCAGACCTTCTGACTCAAATATTTATTACAAATTAACAATAAAAGCACTAATTTTCAATTTATATATGTCCAAGACAAAGAAAATGTGTTCTAAAGATCAACTGTTAAATCTCAACCAAATTGTAATATTACATATAGGTAAATATTTTTAAATTCCTTTTTTTTTTTTTTTTGCCTTCAGTTCTTTCCATGGAGACAAACACATACACACACACACACACACAAACACAGAAATATTGGCCCCAGTGAGAAAAACATGCTCTTTGTTGAATATATGAAACAATGAAGCCATTACCATGCTCCAGCATTTTCATGGGCATCCAGAAAAGAATGAAGGAATGGATCAAAGCATTTAAACACTGAAACCAAAACACCTAAAAGAAAGCAAAGCAAGAAAGTTATGATAGTACATTGTTCCAAATCTAAAAACGTGACATAATGAAATATGCTTGTAGTTTGAAACAGTTATAAAGCCAAAATGTTTTCCTGGAGATGGAAAAATTCTATTTCTTCTACTTCTAAAAGAAATGACTGTGAAAGTATGGGATATTATTTGAAAAGAAAACTCATTAAATATAAATGTGTAGAACTCAAATATAGAATATTTGTTATCAAAAATTACAAAGACCAAAATTATCCAATGAAAAAGAACCAGAAGCAATTTTTAAAAGAAATAAAAATATTTTCAATACTTAGGTTGTAGTGTTTTAAATATAATTTCATATGATAAACTCTGCATCTTTACATCTCCACCCAGACTCTGGTCAAAATAAATTTTAATAAACCACATACAATTTTCTTAGAGGAAATCTTAATAATATAAAATCCCTAGGGTCAAACAAAGGTACACCTTGGGGTTAGGAGATGGTTGAACAACAAAAACAAATCTTTGTTCTTTTGGTTCTAAATATATCAGTTATTTTTATGCTTGCCAGGAAGACTTACAGATAAAGGACTAGAGAAGAAAAAAATGTGGAAAAAACATATTTTGTCCTGTGACCTAAATTTCCTGGAGTAAAGCTGTTTTTAGGAAAGAATGTAAGAAACTGGTTTAAAAACACAGCTAATGCCAAATTGGAAAACCTCAAGATTCATGGAACATTGGGTAGAATACATAGAAGTTTTTGTCTTGGTACTGGAGAAAAATTATCTTTGGACTTAGCACAACTCCTGTCCTTCCTAATAAATATTAAGATGCAGATCCACAAGGATTAAATTGTTTCTAGTTAACTTACTTGTGTTCCAGAACAAAACTCAAGAACATGGTAATACAAAATAAAAAGCTTTTATGCACAGCAAAGGAAGCCATCAACAAAACAAAAAAGCAACCTACTGAATGGAGAAGATATTTGCAAATGATACATCCAATAAGGAGTAAATATCCAAAATACATTTAAAAACTTCTACAACTCAACACCAAAAAACCAAATAATCTGATTAAAAATGGGAAGACATTTTTCTAAGGATGACATACAAATGGCCAACTAACACATGAAAAGATGCTCAATATCACTAATCATCATGGAAATGCAAATCAAAATCACAATATCATTTTATATCTATCAGAATGTCTAAAGTCATAAACACACACACACACAAACAAGTGTTGAAGAGGATATGAAGAAAAAGGAACCCTGTGCACTGTTGGTGGCAATGCAAAGTGGTGCAGCCACTGTAGAAAACAGTATGGAGGTTTCTCAAAAAATTAAACATAGAAATACCATATAATCTAGTAATTCCACTACTGGGTATTTACCCAAAGAAAACAAAAACACTAATTCAAACAGATATATTCACCCCTATGTTTACTGCAGCATTATTTACAATAGCCAAGACATGGAAGCAACCCAACTGTCCATCCATAGAAGAATGGATAAAGAAGATGTGGTGTGTGTGTGTGTGTGTGTGTATATATATATATATACACACACAATGAAATATTACTCAGCTATAAACAAAAGTATGTCATCAACCATTGACAACAATATGGATGAACCTAGAGGGTATTATGCTAAGTGAAGTAGGTCAGGCAGAGAATGACAAATACCATATGATTTCACTTATATGTGGAATCTAAAAAATAGATGAACAAACAAAAAGCAGAAACAGACCCATCAATACGGAGAACACACTGAAGGTTGCCAGAGGGGTGGGGGTAGGGGAATGGGCAAAGTGGGTGAAGGGGTGTGAGAGATACAGGCTTCCACTTGTGGAATGAATAAATCATGGGGATAAAAGGTACAGGCATAGGGAATATAGTCAATGGTACTGTAATAGTATTGTATGGTGACTAATGGTAGCTACACTTGTGAGCATAGCATAATGTATAGATTTGTTGAATCACTATGTTTTACACTTGAAACAATGTAGCATTGTGTGTCAACTACTTCACTAATTTTTTTTTAAATAAACATGTAAAGAAAAAATATTCATATATATATGAATATATATAATATATATGAATATATATAAAAATATCCATCACCTAGGTAAATTTCATGATATCAGACATCAAATGCAGAATTACCAGGCATGCAAAAAAAGCAGAAAAATACTACCCAAAATAAGGAAGTAAATAAATCAATTAAATCCAACCCCCAACCAACATAAATGTTAGAATTTGCAGATAAGGATGTTGAAAAAGTATAACTGTTCTTTATGTTCAAATGGTAAGTAGGTAAATAGAAGATATAAAAAATTTCTAAATAGAAATTCTATGGATTAAAAGCTACAATTTTTGAGATAATAAATTTACTAGATCGCAGTAATGCAGATTCAACACTGCAGAAGGAAAAATTAATGACATAGATATTGCAGTAGTAAATTGAAGACAAAATAATTTCTAAAAATTTAACAGAGAGGAAAATGTATGGAACAAAAATATAGATTCAATGAGGTTTTGGATAACTTCAAGTGATCTAATATATGTATAATTGGAAGCAACAGAAGGCGAGGAGGTCATCCAGAAAAAAATATTTGAAAAAACAATAGCTAAAAATTTTCTGTATTTGATATAGACTATAAACCAGGAAACTTTTCTTATAAAGGACAAAATGGAAAATATTTTATATTCTTTGGGGTCCACATTGATCTCCATTGCAACTATTCAATTCTGCTCTTATAACTTTAAAGAATCACAGGGAATTTTTAAGTGAATGGGCATGGCTACTTCCCAATAAAACTTTATAAAAGCAGGCAGAGGACTAGATTTGGCCTATAGACCATAGTTTGCTGATCTTCTTACTATCAACCTACAGATCCAAGAAGCTCAAAGTACCCCAAGCACAAGAACCATGAAGAAATGAGACATCACAATCAAATTGCTCTAATTTGGTAATAAAGAAAAAGATCTTCAAAGCAGACAGATGAAAAAAGACACATTAAAGTCATAAAGATGAAGATAACAGTAATTCCACATTAAAACAATGCAAGTAAGAAGACAATGGAAATTGCTGAAAGAAATAAACTATCAACCTAAAATTTTATGCCAAGCAAAAATAACTTTCAAAAGTAAAGGTAAAATGAAGATTTTTTGAGATATATAAAAGCTGAAAGAGTTCATCACCAGCAGATTAGCACTACAAGAAGTTTTAAAGGAAGTCCTTCAGGCAGAAAGGAAATTACAACAAATAATAATGTGAATCTACACAAAGGATAGAAGATCACTGGAAATAATAAATATATGGGTAAAGATTGAAGTGTTTCTCTTGCTGGGACACCTGGGTGGCTCAGTTGGTTAAGCGTCTGCCTTTGGCTCAGGTCATGATCCCAGGGTTCTGGGATTGAGTCCCACCATCAGGGAACCTGCTTCTTTCTCTGCCTGCTGCTCCACCTGCTTGCTCAGTCTCTCTCTGACAAATAAATAAACAAAAATCTTAAAAAAAAAAAACAAAAACCAAAAAGTATTTCTTTTGCTATTTAAATCACTTTTAAAAATGTTCAAACACAAATATGAATATGGTATGGGGTTTTTAACATATGTAAAAGTAACATGTATGACAATAGTCCAAAAGTCAGAAGGAGAGAAATGGAAGTATACTATTAAGTTTTTTATACTGTGTGTGAATTAGTATATCACTTGAAGGCAGACTATACTAACCTGAAGATGTATGGTATAAAACCTAAACAAATTCTTAAAAAAAAAAAAAAAA